TCATTGCAAAAGATTATGTGTAGCAGAGGGAGGCCTTTTCTGAGTAAAAATTTCCTTTAAGACAGTCCTCTCTCAAATTGCCCTGGAGGGGTTTCCATCTAATCAGTCCTAACTCATAAAAAGAAAAAAATTCTTTTTTTTTTTTTTTTGGTAACAGCTTTATTAGATATCATTCACGCACCAAACAATTTAATTCACTCATTTAAATTCAGTGTATCAGCCAAGTACAGTGGCTCACACTGCACTTTGGGACGCCAAGGCGGGAGAATCACTTGAGGTCAGGAGTTTGAGACCAGCCTGGCCAACATGGTGAAACCCCATCTCTACTAAAAACACAAAAATTAGAAGGATGTGGTGGTGAGAACCTGTAATCCCAGCTACTCGGGAGTCTGAGGCAGGAGAATCACTTGAGCTCAGGAGGCAGAGGTTGTAGTAAGCCAACATCATGCCACTGCACTCCAGTCTGAGTAACAAAGTGAGATTCCATCTCAAAATTAAAAAATAAAAATAAAAAGTAAATTCAGTGCATCACCACAATCATTAACACAATCAATTTTAAAACATTTCCATAATTCCAACAAGAAACCTGAACTTCTCAGTCATCATACTCCAAACCTCCCATGTCCCCCAATCCCTAGACAACTGCTAGACTGCATTTGGCCTCTGTGGATTTGCTTATACTGAACATTTATTATAAAAGGAATCATACAACATGTCGTCTTTTTGTCTGGCTCCTTTCACTGAGCATAATATTTTTGAAGTTCATCTATGTTGTAGCCTGCGTTAGTATTTCATTCCTTTTTATGGTCAAATAATATAGATGGTCTTGACTTGTAATCATTTGACTTGTGATCTTTTGACTTTACAGTGGTACCCATACTGTTTTCACTTTCAATACCAGCATTCAAGAAATTACATGAGATATTCAAAACTTATTATAAAATGGACTTTGTGTTAGATGGTTTTACCCAACCATAGACTGATGTAACTGTTCTGAGCATGTGTAAGGTAGGCTAGATTAAGTAATGATGTGTGGTAGGTTAGATGTATTAAATGCACTTTCAACTTATGATGTTTTCAACTTATAATGGGTTTATTGGAACGTAACTCTATTGTAAGTTGAAGAGCACCTGTATTCCATTATATAGATATACCACATTTTGTTTATCTGTTCATCAATTGATGGACATTGGGTTGTTTCTACCTTTTGTCTATCATGAATAATGCTGCTATGAGTTTTCTGTGTGGACATATTTTCATTTCTCTTGAGTATATACTTAGGAATGGAATTACTGCATCAAAATGATAACTCTATGTCTAACTTTTTGAGGAACTGTCATACTGTTTTCCAGATTGGCTGAACCATTTTACATTCTTACTAGCAGTATATCACAGTTCCAATTTCACCACGTACCCACCAACACTTGCAATTACCTTTTTGTTGATAGTTATTCTAGCAACTATGAAATGGTATCCAGTGCACTCTTAATTCTCCAAGTTGGGGCAATGGGGAAAGCGATCATTCATACTACTCCATACTTGGTCCATGTGAGGACACCACCCTGGGAGCTCAGCTCTGTAAGAACATCAGGTCATTTCCATTGAAAATGTAAGTTTTATTCAAGGTAGGGAAGAATTCCAAAGATTATGTCCTATTGGTAACTAGTTTTTCTTTTCTTTTCTGGGATTATAGTTGTGAGCCACTGTGCCAGGCCAAACTTAATTTTAAAATAAACGTTACAGCTTGGTGTGGTGATTCACACCTGTAATCTCAGCGCTTCGGGAGGCCAAGATGGAGGATCACTTGAGCCCAGGAGTTTGAGATGAACTTGGGCAAGATGCTGAGACCCTGTCTCTATGAAAAAAAAATTGTTTATGATTTAGCCAAGCATGGTGGTACATGCCTGTAGTTCCAGCTACTCAAGGGGCTGAGGTGGGAGGCTCTCTTGAGCCCAGCAGTTTGAGGCTGCAGTGAGCTGTGACTGTGCCACTGTGCTCCGGCTTGGGTGATAGAGCAGGACCCTGTCTCCAGAAAATAGATAAATAAATAAAATTAAATTAAATTGTCATCACCATCCCAAATTTAGAAGAAAAAAAAAACTAGTTTCCTTTGCCATGGATAGAAAATAGCCATAAGAAACATAAACAAAAATAAAGTGTTATTAGATTACCAGGAGTTTGATTGCCAAAGCCTCTGTGTCTGGGGCCTGATCTCTATTCCTCACAAAAAGGAATGTGTAATTATTAGAGAAGAGTTAAAGATATCTTAGCAATACATGAGATTTTCTCATTGTGTAATCAGAATGACTGAAATTTGAAAAGGCATAACTTTCCCCTCCAGGTGAATCACTGTTATCTAATGCTGTGTCCGTGGACACTTAAAATCATCTTGTGTGTCACAAAGGCAGTGGTCCTCAGAGCAGAGCACAAGCAGAGTCACACTAAAAATACAAAAATTACCCGGGTGTGGTGGCGCATGCCTGTAATCCTAGCTACTCAGCAGGTTGAGGCAGGAGAATCGCTTGAACCCAGGAGGCCAAGGTTGCAGTGAGCCAAGATTGCACCATTGCACTCCAACCTGGGCAACAAGAGTGAAACTCCATCTCAAAACAAACCAAAACAAAACAAACAAAAAAACACAGATTGCTGATTCAGTAGGCCTAGGTGGGGGCCTGAAAATATGCATTTCTAAAAAGTTTCCAGGTCATGCTGGTGCTGCTGGTCTGGGGAACACATTTTTGAGGACCGATGCCCTAGTTGTGTCATCTCTCATTTTAGGAATAACTGGACTGGGTAAGGTTGAGAGGTACAAACCCCAAAGAGGGGCAAACCTATTCCCACCCATTGTTTTCAATTTTCCTCTTAAAGAGCAACAAGTCCAGGCCTGGTGCTAGCATCTCTGGGGACAATGTTTTAATCTCTGGAACCACTCGCTTCCTCTCTGAAGAGATGTGAATTACAATTTGTGGCCACTGCAAGAGCTTTCTGATCTCAGTCAAACCTCCCATAGTCTTGATGGGTGAGTAGAGGAGGAAGTAGGTGAGAAATCAAACTCCTTCCTGGGGAAAATCTCTTTATAGAACTCCAAGAGTTTCATTCCAAAAGATAATAAATAAAATAAAATAATAAAATAAGAAGCCCACAAAATCTCTTATGATGTGAAATATATTTTTAGAGCTGACTAAATTCAGTGAGGTGAGTAGATAAGCAATTGTGAAATTTTATAAACCAAGACTCAAAAAGCCAATGCCTGCTCCTTTCGAAGGTCAAGGTGTTTTGGAACACATCTCCAGTGGTTAAACACATGGCTGGGCGCAGTGGCTCTCATCTGTAATCCCAACACTTTGGGAGGCCAAGGTGGGCAGACCCCTTGAGCTAAGGAGTTCAAGACAAGCCTGGGCAACATAGTGAGACCCCATCTCTACTAAAAATACAAAATTTAGGCAGGCATGATGGTGCACTGCCTGTAGTCCCAGTTACTTGGGAGGCTGAGGTGGGAGGATTAGGCAGAGGTTGCAGTGAAGAGAGATTGCACTACTGCACTCTAGCCTGGGCAACAGAGTGAGACCATGTCTCTTAAAGAAAAAGAAAATCTTTACGTTGGTACTTGACCCTTTCTCTGAGCCCATTACATTGTTTGTGTATGAAGAGGAAGTTGCCACAGGAGTGCTCAACCGCTGTCCTGCCACCCAACAAAGCAAGTCATTTTCGTGTGTTCATGTTTCCTTCCAGCGCTTATCTTTATGGAGGCATGGTTTTTACATAATTAGAGATATAACAAGAATCCTGCCTCTTCAACTTCTATCATAGTAGAATAAGCACTTCCCGTCAATGCTGTGGTCTTCTGCATCGTTCTGTGTGTGGATAGTCATACCTCTCATCAAGGGTGGTCACCACATTTAAACCTCTGTTGTTGGGTAAGGTTGTTTTCAATTTTTTATACTGTATATATGTAATACTGCAGCAAATTATTTGTACATATAATGTTCCCTTCATTTGAAATTATTCCTTGACCAGGCACTGTAGCTCACGCCTGTAATCCTAGCACTTCGCGAAGCCAAGGCAGGAAGATTGCTTGAGGCCAGAATTCAAGACCCCCGTCTCTACAAAACTCAAAAAAATTTTTTTTTGAAGAAATTATTTAAGATAAAGTTCCAGAAGTAAATTTCTCGATCACAGGGTAAAAACATTTTGTTTTGTTTTGTTTTGTTTTAAGACAGGGTCTGGCTCTGTCACCCAGGCTGGAGTGCAGTGGCATAATCACAGCTCCCTGCAGCCTCACCCTCCTTGGCTCAAGCAATCCTCCCACCGCAGCCTCCTGACTAGCTGGGACCGCAGGCATGCGACACCATGCTCAACTAATTTTTTAATTTTTTGTAGAGATAGGGTCTCACTATATTGCCCAGACTTGTCTCAAACTCATGGACTCAAGCGATCCTCCCCCATTGGCCTCTCAAAATCATGCCCAGCCAAGAACATTTTTAAATTGCTCTTAATACTTGTTGCCAAAGTGTAGCATATTACTATGTAGCAATTGTAAAGCATATTGAATTATTTGCACCTACACCAGAGTTGGATATATCATTGTACACATTTTTAAAATATGTAAAATATTACACCAGTGTGGTGGCTCACACCTGTAATCCCAGCACTTTGGGAGGCCGAAGCAGGTGGATCACTAGAGGTCAGGAGTTCAAGACCAGCCTGGCCAATTTGATGAAACCCATCTCTACTAAAAATACAAACATTAGTCAGGTGGGGTGGTACAAACCTATAATCCCAGCTACTCAGGAGGCTGAGGCAGGAGAATTGCTTGAACCCAGTAGGTGGAGGTTGCAGTGAGCAGAGATTGTGCCACTGCATACTAGCCTGGGTGGCAGAGCGAGACTCCATCTCAAAAAAAAAAAGAAAGGTAAAATATAATCTCACTTTTGTTTTAGTTGTAGTGTCTTTAAAATGAGTAAAAAATTAAATATTTTCCCCCACACATTTATTTAATAATAATATTTTCTCTTTTGTGAATAATTTGATCATGACAACCAACTTTTGGAAGTTAAATTGTCTGAATGCACTGTGGGTCTGAAGACCCCGGACTGTGTCTTACTTACTTTGCATTCCCTGTTCCTTGCACCTAGAACAAATCGGACGGCCTTCATTCATTCCTTCATTTCTTCCGTAAATCTTTACTGAGCACCTGCCATGTGCCAGCTGTTCTGGATGCTGGAGACAGAGGAGTGGACAGGGAAGAGAAACTCTCATGGAAGTTAGGCAACAGGTAGCTAAGCCAGCAAAGAGACAAAGTAATTACATATCGTGATGAGGGCCATGGAGGAAACGAACTGAGGCGGATGGTCAGGTGAGTAGACCAGCTCCTTTAGATAAGGCCCCCAAGGAAGATCTGGCCTGTTGTTCTCCTGCTTAAATGTTCCCATGGCTTCTGCCATTGTGCTTAGAATAAAATCCACCCTCCTTTCCACAGCCTCTAAGATACTGCAGCATCAGGCCCCAGCCTGTCTCTCTGACAACATCTCCCCACAATCTCCTCCTAGATCATGGTGCTCTTCAAACACACCAGACTTGTTCTGGCCTCAGGGCCTTTGCACTTACTGCTCTTCTAGCTGGAATGCCCCTTTTCTGATGTATATATGGCAGGCTTCCCTTCAGGAGCAGCTCTCAGTTCTGATATCAGCTCCTGCAAGATTTTGCTGACCATCCTATTTAAAGTAGCATCTCATACCCCACAAGTCACTATCCCATTGTTGTGTTTTTATTTTCTTCAGAGCGTTGATCACTGTCTAAAATCATTGTATTTAATTACTTTTTTACCCACCCCCACTACCCATCAGCTTACAGAAGCTCCGGGAGAGCAGCGACCTTCATCGTCTTGTTCACTGCTTCATCCTCGATACCTGATGGATGTGTAGAGATGCCTCGAGTACCAGGGATCGATTGAACAGCCCCCTCCTGAACATTACTCATGTAAAGCAACCATTTGCTGAAAAGTTAATTTCAGAGGGTATAAAAAACAAGAGTGGAAATGGTTCTGTCAATGTGTCATCAATTAGACATTTGAGTTGGGAATATTGCTTTCCACAAGTCATTTCTCTGGGAATGGTCTTCTGAATTAGAGAGGAAAATGCTGATCAGCTTCATGTAGTATCTAAATGTGATATCAATAAATGGTCGTAGTGACTCTAGGAAAGCTATATTCACACCTCTGTTGAGGGGCTGGAATTAGAGAGAAGGAGATAGGAGCTTAACAAGTATTTACATCTGGTTCTATAGACAGAAAAAAATCTTTGGGTCTAACTATTTAATCTTGATAGAAATGTTTTATGTTTTGATGATGCTCTAGAGCCTTATCATGGTGTTGCAGTGTTGCAGAATCAAAGTAGCTGAAGAGGGGCTCTTTTGCTTGAGACGGGGTCTCACTCTGTCACCCACGCTGTGGTGCAGCAGTGCAATCTCAGATCACTGCAACCTCCACCTCCAGGGCTTAAGGGATCCTCCTGCCCCAGCCTCCCAAGTATCTGGTACTATAGGCATGTGTCACCATGGTCAGATAATTATTTTAAAATAGTTTTGTAGAGACAAGGTCTCACTATACTGCTTAGGCTGGTCTCGAATTCCTGGGCTCAAGCAACCCTCCCACTTCGGCCTCCCAAAGTGCTGAGATTACAGATGTGAGCCACTGCACCTGGCTAGAGGGGCTCTTGATGGATTGAATTCTAATTCTAAAAGGCTCTGATATAGCTCTCTTGAGTTTACTTTATGCCTATATAACTGGATATTACTTTAGATTAATGGGCATGTCCCATTCCTTTGCATAGTGAATAGAATCATTGAAAAGCTCACCCTGAACAGTAGTTCTTTTGCAACCAGGTAATTATGGGTAAAGAGCTTTTCGTTTAACTGACTTGGTGACAACGTTACCAACATATAACATTGTTTCTATGGGAAAATGGAGTCTGTGTTCTTGACTTATAGATAAATACTTAGAATCTAGCCATTTCATACTAATAAATATCACCCCTTTTTCCTATCCAGGTTTTGAGTTCTGTGAGAAGTAAAATAAAGAGTACAACAGATGGACACAAAATATTACTTTTATAGAAGCTTATTTTTGAGAATGTGGCTTAGGCCTTCCTCCTACTGGATCATTACCTTCTTGGCACAACAATCCTGAATCCAGGTTCTCTCCCCAAAGGGAAACCGCAGGATCTGAGGTGAGTATTCCCAGTTTATTCTGAAATAAGTCACTACTCTTCATTTAGGGCAAAATGAATAAAGACATGCCAAGAGGCCAGGAGTGTTTCAGGAATTAAACTCCCTCCATATGCAAGGAAACATCAGCCCTGAGGAAGAAGCTGTTCCCCTCATGAAAGCTCTGTGCATTGTCTCTGTCATCCTGCAGTACTGAAGTCGAGTGTGGATTGAGTTAGGAGGGGGCATAACAGTGATTGCTGATTTATACTTTGAGGACTGCCTGACTTTCTTGCTGCCCATATTTTTCCAGATGATAAAGCCAGGGAAGAGTCAGGGAGCCAGATGCTTGGCAGTCCTCCATGCCTTCCTGGTTATACTTTTCATTCTATGCTCAGCAGATAAGTAATATAGAAAACCATGGAAATATTGACACTGTTATAATATGGTGGCATCAGTAGACACTGGTGATAGAGCACTGTGGGCACTACTCACTTGATATCTTGAACCTAAGACATGAAGGGGTGTGATAGGCTCCTCCCAGTTTAGGAGACAGGATTTGAGACCCTGCATTTGAGATCCTGCTGCTACTTACGTGACCCCAGGCCACTTTTTCAATTTTTCTAGATTCCTGGTTAGGCTTTTATAAAGTGAATATAGTAAGTTTAAAATGCCGTATAAAAATGGCAGAAAAGGACAAAAGATTAGCAATACATATGTGAAGAACTTTTACCATTAAAAACCAAGAAGAAAACCAACTCAATTTTACAATGTGCAAATTATTTGAACAGGTACTTTACAAAAGAAGAGACATGAGTGTCTAATATGCACATAAAAAGATGTTCAACATCATTTGTCATCAGGAGATACAAATTAAAACAAAAGTGAGATGCCACTACATACCCTTTAGCATAGCTAATATAAAGACTGACAATACCAAGTGTTGACAAAGATAGGGAACAACTGGAATTCTCATATATTGCTGATGGAAAATGGCATAACAACTTAGGAAAACCATTTGACCATTTATTAAAAAGTTATATACCTACCATGTGATGCAGCCATTCTATTCTAAATATTTACCCTAAAGAAATGAAAGTGTGTGTTCATAAAAAAATGTGTACATGAATACTTATAACTTTTTTTTTTTTTTTTTTTGAGATGGAGTCCCACTCTGTTGCCCAGGCTGGAGTGCAGTGACGTGATCTTGGCTCATTGCAAATTCTACTTCCAGGGTTCAAGGGATTCTCCTGCCTCACTCTCCTGAGTAGCTGGGTTACAGGTGCCCACCACCACACCTGGCTAATTTTTGTATTTTTAGTACAGATGAGGTTTTGCCACATTGGCCAGGCTGATCTCCAACTCCTGATCTCAGGTGATCCACCTGCCTCAGCCTTCCAAAGTGCTGGGATTATAGGCATGAGCCACCACATCTGGCCTTATTTGTAATAGTCAAAACTAGAAACAACTCAAATGTCCATCGACAGACGAATTGATAAACAAGCCATGGTGCATCGATACAGTGGAGTAGTGTTCAGATATAAGAAGAAACAAACTATGAATACACACAGCAAGGATGAATCTCAAAATGATTATGTTAAGTGAAAGAAACTGGCCCAAAAAAACAAAACAAAACAAAAAACTACATCTGTATGATTCCATTTACATAAAACGCTAGAAAATACAGACTAATCTCTAGAGACAGAAAGCAGATCAACGGTTGCCTGGGGTTGGGGTGGAGTGTGGGGGATGCAGCACTAAAAAGGGACAAGAGGAAAGTCTTGGGTGTGTCGGGAATGCCTGGTATCTTGGTTGCAATGGTAGCTACACATGTATATACATCAATCAAAACTCGTTGAACTGTACACTGTAAATAGGTCAGTTTATTGACATAAATTATAGCTCAATAAAGCTAGTTTAAAAAGAAAAGAAAAACAAGCCTTTGTTTAAATACTGATTCCAGGAGTTATTCAAGCTGAGAATAATAGCACAACATAATGGGTCTTAGACATGTCTTTGTTTTGGAAAAAGTGTTTAAATGGACCTCTCAGCTATGTAAGAACAAACCCCTGTCTTATTCTTGAATGGAGACTCTAGGACAAAAAGCACTTATGGGCGATCATACAAAAATGTTTTGTTTTCATCAAGGTCAGAGTTAAAAATTTAAACCCAAAGGCCAGGCGTGGTGGCACATGTGCTTGTAATCACAGCACTTTGGGAGGCTGAGTGGGGGATTGCTTGAGTCTAAGAGTTTGAGACCAGCCTGGACAACATGACAAAACCCCATCTCGTCTGAAAATACAAAAATCAGCCAAGCATGGTGGTGCATGCCTGTAATCCCAACTACTTGGGTGACTGAGGCAGGAGGATCACTTGAGCCCTGGAGGCAGAGGTTACAGTGAGCTGAGATTGTGCCACTGCACTTCAGCCTGGGCGACAGAGTGAGACTCTGTCTCAAGAAAAAAAAAAAATTTAAACTCAAAACTCTAGCCACAACTCAGAAGATATCATTAGTTTACATTCCTCTGTCTGGGGCTGGACACAGTAGAGTTGGGGCCCTGGACTTTAAGGAGGGAGAACTGGATTAAGAAGACCCAAATCCAAGTCGTAAAGCTGGTTCCTGACACATGGTGAGAGGTGAGGGGCTGAGGAATTAGAGAGAGGGTGAGAAAGGGAACTGAGAGGTGGGGACCTGCCCAATGCGCAGCCAGGAGCAGAGAGATCAAATCAGCTGTTCTAGGTTTTCTCTTTTCCGTACTTTATTTCCCACTCCCCAACACACCAGTCACCCACAAGACTTCAGTAAAGTTAGGTTAGATGCCATGATGTGATGTTCATTATGCTTGGAAACTTTACTGGGGGGCTGTATCCAGGTAGAGTCATAGAAGCTTGGAGATGTGATTACAAAGTTGCTAGATATGGCCATCAGAGAGGCCCGGAATGGTGGTCCCCAGCATATGGTGGCTAAAGTTAAGCAACTAATAATTTTGGGAAACATATAAGTCCTCTTCAAGGATTCTCAGAACTACAGCTGGAGGAAAGTGGGTTTCCTGCACTCAAATGCGGGTGAGTAGAGCACAGTTCATTATTGAATGTTTAATGGAATGGTGACCTCCTAAAACATGGTAGCTTGGAGACATTTGAGATATCAAGAGATTAACCAAACTCTTGTGCCACCAACCTCACAAGGATATTTGGAATGTCCTAAGTTATTTTGGGCTTCAAGTCAGAAAAATGATTCGTAAGGCCAGCTCCACCTCTTCTATCTCAAAAGCTCGGAAGAGACCTATGGTATATGACAAAATGCTGGCTATAATTGCCTTTCTCTGGTTTGACGTCAATTAATGACTGGACTTTGTACCTGAAAGACAGTTAAAACTAAAGGTAGCCGGGGAGGGAAATCACTTCCTCCTTGGATTACCAAGCAAGAAGAGCAAAAATGAAAGCCGTCACTCATCTTACTCTTCTTGCTCTTCTTTTTGTACACACAGGTAAGGAATATTTTTTACATTTTAATTCTTCCAATCATGTATGTTGTCTTTGAGGTAGAATCAGCAGGCCTACGGCTACGAATTCTCCCAGCCCAGCACACGGTCTATTTTATAAATGAAGTTTCCTCTCCAGCTCAGCTCAAAGACACAGGCATTTTATCCTGTGATGGGGAAGATAGAGCAGCAGCAAAAGTGGTCTATGGGCTGGGCGCGGTGGCTCAAGCCTGTAATCTCAGCAATTTGGGAGGCCAAGGCAGGTGGATCACTTGATGTCAGGAGTTTGAAACCACCCTGGCCAACATGGTGAAACCCCATCTCTACTAAAAATACAAAAAAAAAAAAAAAAAAAAAATTAGCCAGGCATGGTGGTGGGCACCTGTAGTCCCAGCTACTCAGGAGGCTGAGGCAGGAAAATCGCTTTAACTCGGGAGGTGGAGGTTGCAGTGAGCTGAGATGGCACAGGGTGACAGAGCCAGAGTCCATCTCGGGGGGTTTGGGGAGAAGAAGTGGCCTATGGAGTAAGACTTGGGGGCTCAGCAAACCAGAGGTTTGTCTTTGAGAGTTCCTGAGGCCAGATAAGAAGGACTAAGTAGGTTCCAAGGACCCAGTTCTCTACTGTAGCGTTCTGGATCCCCCCTCATGATAATCAGAGAGCTGACCGCAGGAAAAAGCCTCCTTGCACAAATGTACTTGAATTTGAGAAGGCTAAACCATAGGGAGTAGTTGTCATGTTGATTAGACTTCAGACATGTACTCTTTGTTCTGAGTTAGGAAGGGTTCTATGCGCCACATGTGGGTGAGATCATCAATACGTTGAGAGGTGAGGGTTGTGGGGGCCAATTGGCTTAAAATTTTGCTGAAAAATCACTGGCATGAAGTAGATGGATTAATAGGAAAAAAGGCATACAAGTGTATTTAATGTGTGTACCCAGGAGCCTTCAGCATGAACACCCAACTTCCTGATGAGGTATAGAAGCTTATATTTCATCTTGAAGTTACAGAAAGAAAGGGGGCTTGGATCTTGATAAAACAAGTTACGGAAGAAGGGAGAAGAGGAATTCTGTTGAGGGGCAATAAATGATTAGTAGGGAGAACAATCTGATCTGGGAACAAAAATGAACTTGTAGATAATTTTCCTTGGAATTTAAAGATCCCTGGAGACAGTCATTATCTTGACGAAGGGTCTGCTCAGGGGTGGTTTCCTTCTTGGTCTTCTTTCCTGTAGTGGATAATGACATAACAGGGAGGGGAACAGGAGCAATAGTTCTTCTTTGGTGGGTCAGTCCTTACAGCGCTTGTTGACCTCTGAGAGTTTTTAATTTAAAACACTCATTATATCAGGGAGTTATATTCGAGGGTGAAATATTTTGATTTCCTTCAGGTTCAATGAGTTGAAATCTAGAAGCTGCTTGCAGAAAGGAAGAAAGTCTTTGATGAGGCAGACATATGAAGAGAAATTAAGCCCTTTCAGAGAACAGGAATGAATGGCATCAGGATTAGAGTTTTTGAGAGCTGGTTTCAAGCTTTTAATG